TTAAACTTCAGCCACTATCAAAAACCAGCTCTGCTGCAAAAACAAAGAGAGTTAATTCATTCTAATGTGCATTCTTTTATTTATTCTTTATTTTTCTAACAAGGTGACATGACTTTCAAGACAATCTGGCAGTCAGCGTCTTGGATGACTTCATCATGTTCATCATGTATTTATCTTGCAGCAATGAGTTATCAATTTAGCAAGTACTTAACAGACGTCAAGACTGAGGAGTCGGGCCGACTCATTTGATCCTCTTTTCACAAGCACATGCAAGCTTCAAAACAAAATTGAGAAGAAACCAATTGAAAAAGTAATCTCCTCAGAATCTGAAATGACACAATATCCGGTCAGCTGCATGTTCAACCTGTGCATCAGAATGTGTTTACCAGAGCCCTGCAAATTCTGCTTTCCCTTTCTACACTGGTGAAGACACAATTAGATTTGGCCTGTGCAGAAAAAAATGAGCCACAAAAAAGGTTTGTGAATAAAATACAGTTAGTCAAGGGTATCAGTAATTGCAGTCTCTTGGTCAAAGCCAAACATACTTCATATCACAGATTGAAAAAGCATGCAGTTTTCCAGCGATTAGTGTTCTATGTAAAACAGCGACAGCCGCTGAGAAAATCAAATATACAGACAAATTCAATCTAAACCATCTTCCTTTGTCGTGTTTGCACTCATGGCTCCTGTTATTAATGAGTGGAGAAAGAGATTTTTCAAAGCTCTGTAGAGGAATTAAGCTCTTCATATCATCTATCAAAGAAATTTCAGAAGTGGGCTGGCTCTGATTTAGCGTTCACATGGAACATGGACGACCTAATCACAGACAGACAAATTTCTCCCCGCTGCTGCTTTAGAAGAAGCCCCAGAATGCCCTGAAACTAACCCACTCACACAACACAACAAATAGTGAGTATGCAACATTAGACTGTCAAATCAAAGACCAATGTTTCCATTCATTAGAATGAAGAAAACCAAATCACAATAATGTCAACTTAGCTACAAAGTAAACAGTTAATGAGATTCATAAGAGACCAAATTGCTGCCTGAGCAGATGAAACTGTTTCCGTCAACAGAGGGATGGCTTTTCTGTGGGCGCATCCCAAATGAGGGGGTCAGACAAGTTAGGGCTTGTCCTAAAACGGACACATGTTCTCCATTGTCAAACTGACTTTTTTCCCAGCCAGGAGATCAATGTGACCTGTCAGAAGTCACCCACTTGCTGTCAGAGCTCAGATTGATGCTTTGGGGTGGGGGCTGGGGGAGGACAGCGAATTATGTAGAAGAATCTCAGAGGGCTGTCTGCATTTTTGCATTTTAATTTCCAAGGAGGTGGGGGGTAATGGTTAAGAATCAGGGCCCTGTAGGGGTGGCTGGTTGCCTCCTGCAGGTAGAGTGGGGACAGATGAGAGCTCGCATATGTGACAGAAACTGTATGTTAGCTCTGCTGCATGTTATAAACTAAAGTGGTATTAATTAAATAAAGAAATGTGGGAAAAATAGACTTTTGGCATTTTCTATGTAAAGAAACTGCAACGAGGTGGTCAATATGAGCGAGTTTTAAGCCACTGACAATCTCAACATATCAACGTCTAACCGAGATTCTGATCCGTTTGACCAATTAGACAATGACAATCCTGTCCATTGTTCTTTTGAACTGTAAGTACTGTGAAACACAATGACATGTCAATCAATTCATTACATTTTACTCACAAAGCTCCAAATCACAACTAAAGTTATTTCATGAAGCATCATCCACCATGCGCAAGCACTCGTGAAATTTTCTTTTCAAGAAACGTTTGACCGATCCAGACCTAGAGGTAGACAGCCATCTCCTGTAACAGGTAGAAACCTTGAACAGGACCACAAAAATAAGCAGACAGCCATCTCCTTCGAGCAGGACCAGACTTACAGAATAGGTAGTAAGCCATTTTTTTTTTATAGACAGAACCTTAAATAGGACCAGACACAAAGGTAGAAGGCCACCTCTTTTCAATAGTCAGAGACTTTTAACAGGACCAAACTTACAGGTTATAAGCCAACTTTTATTTATAGACAGAACCTTAGATAGGACCAGACACAAAGGTAGAAGGCCATCTCTTTTCCACAGGCAGAGACTTTTAACGGGACCAGACTTACAGCTTAATAGACATCTCTTTTTAACTGGCATAAACTTTAAATAAATCAGACTTATCAAATGAAAGCCATCTGCTCGGATGATTAAAAAACGGGGTATTCATAAAGTCATGGTCAGTTTGAAGTCAGTTGAACTGACTCCAACTGCGACCAGCCTGGCTGTCAATCATCCTGGCCCTGATCTGGAGTCCACACAGCATGTCTGATGGACAGCTGCCCCTCCTCAAGCCTGGGTTTGCAGCACCTGCTTTGTCCGTCTGTCTTGCTGTTACGCGTCCCTCTTTGTGGCCCCACGCAACTCCCTACTGTCAGAGCCTATTGAGGCCCCTCCAGGCAAACATATCCGGGGTCTTTACCAAGGGTGCTGAATGATTAACAGGAGCTATGTAAGAAGGGTTGGGATTGGATGTTTGATGGAGAATGGGTGTAGTTTGAATTGCTGAGTGCTGTTAAGTTTTGTCGGATGAATAAAAAGTGGGACAATGTCTTGGGCGTAGGCCTGGAAAGACATAGGCCAATCTACAGGTAAACAACAGGATGTTGACTTCCACAGCATGCGTGGAGTGGGTGGGTTGGGTGGGGCAAACTAGATAAGCAAGACAGCTAATCATCTGTCAAACTTTACAGCCTGTAACAGATGAGCAGAGCTGTAGCAGGGAGGGGAAGGGTTGGGCAGAAAGGACTGATTGGCATCTAGAGGGGGCTGTGGGCGGGCAGCTGTCAGTCACCCTGTGTCACGAGGCCTGGGGCGCACCTGTGCACCTTTTTGAATGACCCCTAAATGGGAGGTCAGTGCAGGGCTGTGTGATGAGTAAAGCAGGATGGGGATGTTGTTATTCTGCATATAAAAGGGTCGTCAGCACACTAAAGATCACCTCAGAGATAGCAGAGGAGGTCAGCTACTTAAAGGCATTCCTGTGATCTTGTTCATTTCATGGCCCTTTCAAATTTGGCTTTTCATATATACCAGCTATTAACTGTGAAGGGGAACACCTTTAATTAGACTTAGCACAGATTGTAAATTGTACAACTGACAGCACCTCATTCTCAATTAACAGACAAAATCCTGTTTGTTCATGTTTTAGAAAACTTTGGTGGCTGTGGAGCATCGCTTATTTTGCATTATTCATTTGCAATACCGTTCTCTACATACGTTTACATTTACAACTGAAACCTTTCAGTTAGAGCTAACTCACTCAGGTATGATAACTTAAAGAATTGAAGAATTTATGAGAAGCAATATTCAAGACTTCACTTTTCTATTCTGCCATTAAAAAGATGAACTATCCCTTTATATCTGTAACTTTTTGCAAAAGATGGAAAATCTCAGATTTAATGATTTATATCTCTTTTGTCCCACACTTTTATTATATTGTACTTTTTAGTTAGATTTTTGTATGTATGAATTCTCCTCTCTGTCTCACCCCGAGAGTTTTGGATGATAGCTGATCGGAGCACACAATGACGGTATAATGGGACGGTAGAAAACAGGCTCATACATCGTATCTGTTAATGGTTTTCAATTAAAAACAAATTCAGAATCTTAAATCTTAAATCTTAAACACACTATTCAACTTAGTGCATTCACATCAAAACACTACTCATATCGTGTAAACCTCAAACTCAGCCGTCATTTACTTTCTGCCTCGCTGGTGTGTGTTTTTTTTTTACAGGACAGACAGACTTTCTTGTAGTGAACAAAGGAACTCATTCACTGACCACTGGGCACGGCTGAACAACTGTACAACAGGAGTAGGTGTGGGAACATGACCCATCTATCCTGTCCACATCTGCAGCACTTCCTCCCCCTCCACACATGAGGCAGCTGTTGTACGGTAAACTGTGCCGTGCGGCTCCCTCCTCTGTCAGAGCACTTTCCCCCATTGTTAGGATGAAAAGCGCCGCAGCGGTGGTGGCCCTGGTCCTCAGGAGCAATGCCTGGCTGGAGCTTATTTTGGTTGGGCTTGCCCAAATAAACACGCCGGGACCTCACAGCCGCAGCTGTGGGCCTCTCCCTGATTGACCTCCTCTCCGGTGACTCCTCCACTAACAGTGAGAAAGAGAGAGAAAAACAAGCGAGGGAGAAAGAGACAACTCGACTGAGCCAAATCCTACAGAGGTTAGAAGGGCCAAATGCTGCTTATTATCAGAGGCAGGTCTTTCCCACGCCTGCAGGCCTCGTGTGTGCAGCCGGCGGCGCGCCTGCTTGCCAGAAAGTGTTTAGCTAACTCATCTACAGTCATCCTCCCACCAAAGGAAGGGGGGTGAGGTTTGGTTTCTCACTGCTGGACAGAGAGGAAGGTTTATTCAGCAAGTTTCAGAGCAAAGACGGAGAGGTTTAAAACCAGGGGGGTGAATGGAATGCACAACGCCTTTCTTCTTACAACCTTCTGCTCTCAAAAAGGATGCGAGTGTGAATTTGGAGTTTGACAGCTGAGTAAATTGAACTAATGGGCTGAGCATGCTGAGATGAAGGTCACATTGTGCCCGCTCTTGCAGCACCACTTATGGGAATAAGGCTACAAACTGCTGCCTTGCTGCAGGAAACTCGCATCCTGTTGAGAAAATACACCCACGTGTTGGCATCAAATTTTCATGACAGAATCATCTTGGACCAAAATATCCCAGAGCTAAACATTTTTAAAGTAGGAAGAAAAACTGGCATGAATACAAAACACAGAAATGTGGCTATCAAGTCTTATGAAGAACCTGTCTTGCAAGGATTTATGATAATCTGATGAATAAAACAATTAAAAACTCAGATAGAAGAGCGAGTTGAAAGGGGAAATTTATGTTAATTTCCCTTTTGCAAAGGTGAAATTAGATTGTTGATAAAGATACAGTAACTAGGGAGCAAGCAGACGTTAAATCAAGCATTTAATGTATAATAAGACATGCTTTCATTAATACAGGTACAAGCTGCACGCTTTTATATCACTTAAGAGTCAAGATGGTGAATAAAAAATAAATTAAAACGGTACCACAAAAAAATGTTTACATATTTAAATTTATCAATAAGTACAAAATATTCATTTATTGGAATAACATTATGCTACACCCACGTGGCCATCCACCCACCCACACAACACCCACAGCAAACCCACGAACTCCTCCTCCACACAAACCCACACACACACCCTCTACCTCCTACATATGTATTCACCCACTTACACAAACACCCACACACACACATCCATCAACACTAATGAATGCCCAATCACCCACCTAGCAACTCCCACACACACACACAAACAAAAACACACCAACTCATTCTCCAACATATACCGCATCCGCCCATACCCTCCTACACACACAGAGAGGAGCTCACACACTCCTTACCCCCTGCCTTGCTCTATTTGCACTGTCAGCCTGATGCGGAGCTGAGTCAGCAATCAGCCATTGGTTTGTGTGTGTGTGTGTGTGTGTGTGAGCCTGCAGCCTCTCCAGGAGCTCTGTGGACTCTAGAGGGGACAGATGGGCAGAGAGAGAGCTCCTGGGCAGGTAGTCATCCCCAGAATGCGGGGGCGTCTTTGTGGGGGTCTTGCCAGGGGCTGAATGGCCTTTAAATGCTCCTGCCCACACCCACAGAGAGCATCTAGATGGGGGCTATTGTCCCTAAAAGCTCGGTCTCCCTCCTCCTCCCACTCTTTATGCTGAGTGGGTGCATCACGGGGAGATCACCGCCCACAAACACACCTGCAGGAATGCACAGGGATGAATATGCAGCGTGTCAGCAAATGGAGCGACATCTGTTATGTGGAGACACACAGCCTTCCTCAGTGCATATGAATGACATCGCTCACAATCTCTCAGTGAATTAATCAGATTTTAGTAGTGCTTTTGCAGCGATAACAACATCTTGTGTGTGGAGTACCTGTCGGAGTCGAATCCTGTTCTACAACTGTCCCTAGAGCTGCTTTTAATCCATGCCATATTGTCCTCTTTTCAGGTACCTATGCTGCCTGAGATCAGCCTCACAGAACTGCAAGAAAGGATTAAAAATGGTTCACTGCGAGAGACAGAAGCTTGGGAGAAAGTTCCGACTGGGCATTAAATCTCCAGTCCCTTAGGCTGTCAGTGCCGCCACAGAGCCACGTCAAAAATTACACAGCAGTTCCAGCTAGAGGGCAATTACAGAGTGGGGTCCATGAGTGACGCCTGTGTAGGACCGGCTGGCACTTCCCTCGCTGACATTTGCAGAGGTACTTAAAATTTACAGCATAGGGCTCATTTTCAGACGAGTCAAAAAGTTCCCAAGGCCCTCTTTTCTGTTTTTCTTGGTCATAATTACATAAAATATAATCATTCAGGCCTAAATTGCAAGATAATAGCTGTGGTCATATTCAACCAATACGCAAAAGACTGAGAGGGGAAGAGAAAGCAGCAGGAGGGCTGAGGAAATTGAGAAATCCTAACCGGAGAGATAAAGGTTGTGTTTTGCCATGGACTCTGTCTGTCTGGGCTGGATGGCAGGCCTGATGGCACTGTGTCAGTGTCATTACGTGGGTGTGTGTTCAGGAGCGGTTTCAGCCCAGACGGACATGACACACACATTCAAACGCTCGTCAGGAGGCCACCCACGCCTGACACAGGGGAGAGTGCCAGGCCCTGACACACGGAGCGTGGTGAGGCGACAAGTTCGTCAAGAGACGGATCAGAGCCTCCTTTGCCACATGTCAGTCACCAGCTCTCGCACGCACATCCCACTCTCCCCCCTTTTATCTCCCCCTTTGTCCTCCTCCCCCTCCCACATTTTCATCATGTGAATATGGAAAACTGATCATTTGTGTTTCAGATGTACAATGTGGCCTCGTTACTTTATCTATTTTCTAAGGGGTTGACAAATGGCTTAACTTCTGCTGTTCCACCACAAATATCTGATCTGACCTCTTTAGAGTAGCATTTTGTTGCATTTCATATATTGTTACACGGCTAAGCAGATCTAATTTTTCACATTTGCTAAATTCAAACAAAGTCCAAATGTGTTGGCAATGCCAGTGGATTATAAAGCCAAGTATTAGTAATTGAAACCCCTTAAAGATTGCACTATTCACCAGCGCCAACCACCGCTGACTGACAAGCCTCCCCAAAAATGTTCCATGTGGTTTCATGGGTTGTGGAAGACCTCATGCAAATGCTTAATCACTTCACTTTACTGTTTGTCCCAACTGGCAAAGTAAACAAAAGGCACACTTAGGCAGGCGTCTTAAACAAGCTGAGGAGGGTAGGAGGTTTCCAGAAATAAACCAGAGCGTGCAGTAAAATCACAGCCGAGGGAGGGTCAAGTGTGCCGGATTTCAAAGGGAACCCATAAAAAGGCTCAATCTGGTTTTCACATTTCCACACAAGAGGCAAACGTGGCTGAGATATCATGCCACCGCCATTTCCAAACGAGGGGGGAGCTATTGCCAACGCTTACTGTAACTCAATCTGTGTTCATGTGTGGGGATTTATGGCTGTTGTAAAATCAGCGGTCCTCAATTCTGGGCCAATGAAACCAAAATGAATTAGGATTTCTTTCCTACTGGTGCTACTAGTTCCTGCTAATTGCAGCAGATTTTGACTGATTTCTTATCTCAAAAGGCGGAACAGAAAGCAAACAGGTTTTTCTTTTCTCCATGTAGTGCACATCTACAAATCTGAGCAGATTTCCAGAGTTTTTACATACGTAGGTAACATTCACAACAGAGGTAGAATCAGATCTGGTACCATTTCACCTGTTACAGGAACCACCTATGCCATTCAATCATCATGTTAAAGTCTGTGAACTATGCACATAATTGTCTAGCCCTCAAACACTTGCTATCCATCTCGCTGTTCATCTATGAGACCTCAGATCCTGAAGCAACACACCAAACAGGATAATCCCTTGTCAACATGTAGCTGATCCCGGGATTGGGCTGCCCCTGGGCCCTGATCTCCCCTCTGCCTCCCACCTTCTCTTCATCGCCCGGTCCCTCAGGCTGACATGGACCCTGACAAAGCCCTAATCCATCACCTCCTGTCAGAGAAGGCCGCACAGAAACACCCCCTCCTCATGTGCAGGCATTTGCCTAATCCACTGGGCCAGGGCTCCATGAGAAAGGAGCACCCACATGGCTTCACCCTGGTTCTGTTTGCTCGTCCCATCTGAGTCAACACACTCCAGAGAGGGACGAACACTACCAAAAAAGAGAGGCACACCATGAAGTCCAGGCATCTATACTGACCTGCACATAGCACCCTTTAGCAGGGGGAGGCTGTACCTTGGGTGGTGGTGCGGTGTGTCTATCCTCTGGGCCTCTGGTGTGCTAATGTAATCCCTGGAGCAAACACAGATCTCCTGACTTCTGAAGGGTGGTGTCTACTGTAGATGGCTGCATCAAGGGGAGAGGTGCACTTTGATGATGGTCCACATCTGTGAATAGCAAGCAGAGGATAGCTTAGCTTTCATGGCACACGCACACACACAGCACAGGGCCAGCAACCATGGCTCACAACAGTGTCAGAGTAGATGTTAAAGTTGTGTGTCAGCAAACAGCTAAAAGGGGTACAAACAGAGGAGTGTAAATGATAGCAACAAGAAACCTTTAACTTACCAGAAAAACTTAATGTGAAAATAAAGTTTGATAGTTTTCTGCTCTCACAGGAACAGCAAACTTCCAAACTCCCGTGTTTGGAAAACGGTTTTATTTTGAGCTGAAAGGTAAACACGGATTCATTTCAACCTCCAGCTAAACGTTAGAGAAAGTTTTGACTTGTGGTGCTTTAATTATACACCCATGAGCCGTTTTCCATGAATAAAAAACGATTTGTGTGATTGAATCTTGTCATTTACTCCAACATACCGTGACCTGCAGACGGCTTCCCACTGTTCCTGTTGGCGTTTGTGAGGAAACTCTCGTGGTCAATCAGAGCCAACATCTCCCTCTAGTGGTGGAGGTATGAACAGCATCTACTGCTCCATCCGGCTGCATGTTGTAGTGCATTTCCTTCTTTAGTGCTGCAACCATCGACTGTAGTATGTAGTATAAACAGTATATGGTCAGTATACAGTCTATGGCTGCAACCTATAGCGGAGAGTGGGGTAAGTTGAGCCACCCCCTGTTGCTTGGAAATGGTAAAAGAAATTGATCATGTGACCAAATATTGAGGCGATGGGCATCAATTCATGGAGTCTGCGAAGGGTGTCGGGGTTAGACATTTATTTCCAAAAAAAAAAAAAAAACATTTTTCACTCTTGAAAGTGAATTCAGTCCGTCAAAAGTTTTATGAGAATTGTGTTCAGACCAAAAAAGATCATTTTAAATTTGTTTATACATCAATTGTGGTATCTATGAGCTACAGCATGAGGTCAAAAACCTAGCATAAAAGTCCACCATTTTAGCTTAGAGGTCTAATAAAGTCATCATAGTAGTTCTGGGGTAAGTTGAGCCAGTAGCTCAACTAAGAAAGTAAAAAAGTCTGATGAGAGGATCAGAGTTTCAGTTCAGATTGTTGAAATGTGTTACTTTGAGTGTTCTGAATCACTTAAAGACATTCTCATGTTAAAATGGCCTTTTACAAAACAGTGAAGAAAAAAAATGTGAAGAAGTGACTGTTATTTTATGCAGAGAGAAGGTCAGAGAGTGGGCTGGGGCGGAGATACCCCATACACGGGGTAAGTTGACCAATTTTTTTTTGGCATGTTATATTATCAAGACAGTTCTGTTTACACTCATTCTGTTGGTTTGCAGGGATGAACAACATCTTGAAATATATGCAGATACACTAGTTAGAGACAAAACTATGATTGCCTTGATGTAGTAATCCAAAATATGAAAAATGGCTCATCTTACCCCACTCTCCCCTATAAAAGTTGTGCTCTATATCAGTGCATTTAACGAATCATTAGCATTGCGAGTATTAACCAGTAAGATGTAAAATACCATGCTGGCTGTTATTTAATTAATGACGTGGTCAGACGGTCACACTCAATCGACAGCTGGTCTTCTATTCAGTGTTACTGATACTATATGATGAAATATTAAAAAAACTAAAACCATGGTGTGACAAGGCTTACAATTTGCTGTATAAAAACTATTAGAACTTGTGTAATGTGGTGACTTTTATTATGTTTTAAGACACAATTATTGATTTCACTTAAATCGTGCTCTAATTTCTGAGAAAAAAAGTTGCAAAAATACTTCCAAGTATAATTTTATAATAATTAGTTATAACTAGTTATAAGTTAAAACTGCAAAATTCAAAAATGTTTATGCTAATATTATAAACAATTTAAATTAAAACTAGTCAATCAAGGGTCAAGTCATTTGAATGTCGTTTAAGTCTGTCCAACAGAAAGTCATCGATTCCAAGAACTATGTAAAAGTGGTTCATAGGGCTTTTTAACAGCTCTGAAGTTCCCTAGAAGAAAAATAAAGTAACAATTAATATAACTGATGGCTTAGGGGTCATGAAAATACCAGTCAGTGGATAAAGAAATATCCTTAAAATGCTTTAAATGTGTGTAAGATGGAAGACTGTAACAAATGTAATAAGAGAGAGTTTTCCTTTGTAAAAGAAAACGTTTTTGTTTTTCTCTCTCCAAAATAGACTCATAGCATTGTCTTAATTAGTTGCAAATTGACCCCAGCTCCTGGCGAAAGCAGCTCTGGTTCACTCTTTAAACAATCTCATTGTGGAGAAAAACACACCTGAGCCTGGAGGTGTGGGAGCCACGTGCAGGGAGAATTGAACTTAGGTCTTATTTTCCCTACCGCTGACTCCTTGCATGACTCGCCTTCTTCTCATTTCCACGCTTGAGTTACCTTCCCTTCTCCCGCCAGGTCTCCCTTTATCCTAACCACTATGTGATGAGCACATGTCCCCGAGGGCCCCTCTGCAAAGAGTTTCACATTCTCTGCAACTCATATTGTCTGTCCTGAGATGAACAGATGAGAAATTCTGGCAGGAAGGGGAGCTATCTGCCTGAAGGGTTAGACGGAGCTGATGTAGTGGGATATTTTAGGATCTCCTGGGGCTTTGTTGGCATCCCGTATGGCTTTGTTATCAGCTCCAGTTGGGAATTAGGGGATATTCAGGGGGAATCCTGAGCTGTGGGTGGGGTGGGACAGAGTTGGCAGGGAAATGTACATGTGAAATGTGCATTCGATTTGCGTTGAGCATAAAAGATTGTTGGAGTTTTACAAGTTACATCATGGACTTTTATCCGTTTCATTGTGAAATATGATTTTCATTCCAGAAGAATTCTGCCTTACTGTTAGTTGCTGATGTAATGGTAAAGGAAAAATATATTATATAATGGGATCTGCATTGTCTCAACTTAATCTCTACCTAAGGTAATGAATATCTTGGGCTTTTCTCACTCCTATATGACTTACTGAAAGTTCTCTTATTACTGCACTGCAAGTCATACTGTTTATGCATGTTGTTGTTAGTAATATGTATAAGTTTCCACAGTTACTCTTGGGAAACGACAAGTTTGGGTCTTCAAAAACAATCTCAACTTAAGTAAAAAAAGCAGACAGGATTTCAATCAACAGTTTTCTTGTCAGTCTGTGCACAAAGTCTATTTTTAACTGGGTAAATCACTTAATTGATAGTTCTTTACATGACTTGGGCTGAAGAAACTAAATTTCTGTCTTCTGTGGACTTTTTCTGATTCCCGAGATCCACTATCTCCAGGGACCTGAAGTGGACCATCCTCATGGACCCCATCTGGTGTCACTTCCTGTGACAACTCAGGAAGTACAACCACCTCAGGAGCTGCAGATCCATTTCTACACCGCCATCGTCCACTCTGTTTTCTGCACATCCATCACTGTTTGGTTTGGGTCTGCCACCAAGCAGGACAGGAGGAGACTTCAACCTGCACGCCATCCAGGACTTGTACAGGTCCAGGGTCAGGAAACGGGCAGGTAAGATCACTGCAGACCCCTTACACCCAGACCTATACTTGGCCAATCAAACTAATTGTGATTCTGATTTCACCAACAGCAGTGTTGGTTCAGTAAATGCACCGTCTCGTCCGTGCTTCTCAATGCCCTGTAGAGGAAAATTGTAAATCTTTGTCTGAATCCAGATCATGGTCAGATATCTACCTTTTGTTTGAAGTCTTGGATCATTTGTTTGTCACCACTTTGCAAATTGGTTGCATGCTAAAAATTAACTGCAGTGATAAATAGTTGTGTATTCTAGCATTACGAAGAGGTCCAAAACATTTAACATTATGAGGATTTACATAAACTCGCCAGATTTGCTGCATTACAACATTAAAGGGGTATTATGAATTCCAACAGTGTACAGATATAAAATCAGACGGCTGTAAACAAAACTTTCAATGACATTAGTTTTCTTCTCCAAAGCCCCTCTGACCCGTTAATGCACCCTATATGGATCAACAGGTGTGCAGGCTTTAGACGCCCTGGTCTACGTGTGCCGCCTCTGAAGCATGAGCCAGTGGTGATGTAGGTGCCCTCTCGTCCTCTCCTCTGCTCCCTGCACCCTGCACCTCCTCTGCTGCTTCACAGACAGCAGATACATTAAGCCCCTCTGCCCCACAGCACTTTCACCTGCAGAGCAGGGCGGCTCAGTTAATACAGGATCACCTTGCACTGCCTGCAGCTCCACTGTGCGCACAGCACACAGATGAGCTGATCCCCTGACAGCACTGTATGTGGTTGTGCTTGTACGTGTGTGTGTGTGTGTTGGAGTATGTGTGTGCATGTGAGGGTAAATTTTTGTTTTCACTTTCTTGTTCAAAATGCAAGCTTGATCACTCAGTTGTATAGAGTGCTGTGTCCTTCACAGGGAATTTTCCCATTAAGAAACCTGCCCTAGAATTACTTCATACTCTAAGCAGCTCTTGTCCTCGCTTTAATCTTGCCTTTAAAGTTCCTAATCATTATTATGGCGCCCCCAGGCCCAATAAAGGCAATAGAAACATAAAGCCTCTCTCAGCAAGCCAGTGCAACCCTTTAGGACAGCCTCCACTCTGGTCTTTATGGGCTTTTGGATTATAGATTCATTTTTGCTGGACGTGTGGTCAAATTCCTCTCGGAGAAAAGCCCCTCAGTATTCCCTCCTTTCATCTCCGGCTCATTTTCAGGGTATCTAATGGTCATAATCGAGGCAGCCATGCTGGGGGTGTGTTTGAAGGAGCGGTCAAGGAGCCCCTAATCCCCTCATACACAGTTTGTAGTGGCAGCCCCCGATACAAGAGCTGATTTTGTTGCCGAACGCTGAGAGAGCGGGTGGGATTTGAGTTTTGAGACTTATGAATACACACACACACTCTTAGGACACACACATACAAAGACACAAATACTCGGGTGGGAATCTGTGGAATCCTGGCTTTGTAGAAGACCGACGTTTTTAATACAGGGGTGCATTTGTGAAATGGAAACAGGGGACATGATGGAGATGTTTTCAAGTGACTGGTTTCTGAAAACCTTAGTTTAACAATCAACATCAATGAAAAGTATGTTTGCATGTAAAAGGTGCAATTTGTGAAGCACTTATGTTGCATCAAAATTATGGTTTTCAAGTGTTAAGAGGTCTTACTGCTGTAGAATTAAGGAACATATAAATGTCCAAAGGCCTAGATGGACAAATGAGGACTAAGTGTAGAGCAACAGCAAAATCTCTCAGAAAATCAGATTTCCTACACTGACAGTATTGAAAAAAAGAAGGAGAATGATACTGCACAACAGAAAGATGACCGTTTACTCTCCTCTCTTCGACCAGAAAAGGCTTCGGCTCTTTTTCTAGTTAGCAGATTACCGAAGTCAAGTGTGGTTTAGTTCTCAGCCCAAAGCCCACTCCTCTCCCAGCAAGAGCGAGGCAGAAACAGGAGTGAAGATGCTCTCTCAAGCAGTCGGCAAAGAAAGAGTGGGGACCCTCACTTCTAAATGCTGGGAGCCTCTTC